AGGATTTCCTTTTATCTGGAGATACCACATTGAGCTTCGCTCTCTTCCTGCAAGCTCTCTGCCCCGGACCCGAGCGTTAGGACCATCTGCTTATTTTCTGGGGTTTACATCTCAACTCTTTTTCCTCCTCACTCCTCTGATTTGCCTCGTAGTATTCGAGGTGGAGCAGAGGTTTTCACAGAACTACCAGGACATCCCATCTGGAGCCGTGATGATGGATCCAGGCCAGGCAGCGCGTCTGGTTCTGGTTAGGGTCGGGGTTACTCCACTGCTGGTCTGTCTTCATCCACGTCCCATCCATCCCTCCCCTATTTTCCTCTTTGGTTCTCTGGTTTCTGTGAGGCTTCAGGAACCAGGTGTTTCTTTCTCTTTATATTTTGCCACCTCCCAAGCTTTCTCCTTTGTGCTCTGGACGCCTGTATTAAAAACACTTCAGCAGCCCACAGGTTGATTGGGGACAGGGAGTGGGGAACAAAAACCCTCAAGTGGGAACAAAAACCTTCAACTGGGAACAAAAACCTTCAAGTGGGAACAAAACAAAAGGAACCAAGTATTATAGAATGGCCTGGGCTGGAAGGGACCTTAGAGATCATCTAGTCCAACCTCCCTGTCACAAGCAGGGACGCCTCTCGACTAGATCAGGCAACCCATGGAGACCGAACGGGAATTGAACCCGTGGCCTTGGTGTTATCAGCACCACGCTCTAACCAACTGAGCTAAGCGGTCACCCAAGCTATTGTATTTTTTTTCCTTCAGGAACTGGATCAACTGCCCGGAACCTCTGCTGAATTCTACAGAGATTGGCGCAGATGCTTAAAAAGCGGAAAAGAAAAATACCAGTTTTTGCTTGAACTCGGAGGGAAGGCCTTGGGCAGAATCTTTCAGGCTGACTTGGGCTTTGGCCTCCTGGGCGAATTCCTTGCGGTGCTGGCGGAGAACGTCTGTCACGAAGACAGAGCTGCCGTCCTTCAGATCTTAGAGAGCCTTTCGGGCACCAAGCGCTTCGGGTTAAACGTGGAGCTTCTGAGTGAGCTGGAGAAGGAGAGCAGCAGGGATTTATTTAGGAAGCTGCGGAGTGCCAGCGGGGATTATGGGCCCCCCGGTCAGCCCAGCAGCCCAACGGAGAGGGAAGCGCAACTCAGGGACACCGGCGTCCAAAAGGAGGCTGAGGAGGAGAGGGTGGTGATGGAGCTGATGAAACGTTACCAGGTCAACTGAAGGAGCAGAAGCACCAGCATCGTGCAGGAACAGCAGGCAGGAGAGGCTCAAAGCCAGAATCGGATACTTTTAGAGCATTGCTCTGCATTTCTCTGTGCCTGGGAGCCACCCAGAGCGATAGTTCTGCACAAATAAAGGTTGGTTACCGAGAAGACTGTGTTGTGATGTCTGGGGCAAGGTGTCCTCACGGAACGGCTCTGTGAGAATCTCTTAGATGGGGAGAACAACTGAGGGAAAGAAAAAAACTGGCTGGTATTTTTGAAGGGGAAACCAGAACTCAGACAGACCCTTCCCTTAGAATCATAGAATCACAGAACAATTCAG